CACACACACATATATATATATATATATATATATATATATATATATATATATACAGGTGCATCTGGAATGTATTTAAGATAAAATAAAATAGTATTATTTAATAAATTTTATTATATAATTTATATACGGATTATAATACAATTAATGCAACATTCAGCATACTTAGGATGAAATCTAACTTCTTTACATGATAGAGTAGTGCTTTTTGCGTACATGTGGTTTTAGTTGTTACTATATATTTTTACAAATTTCGTGATTTGTTCTTAAAATCAATCGTACACACATTTCACGCACAAATGTGTGCATACGTATGCTTAGTGAATGAGACCCATTGCAGTGAATGAAGGCAACATAGCAATCAGGTTTCACAGAGTAAAGTGAACTCAAGACATCTTTCCACAAAAACAAAGCCTCTATACTCGAAGCAAACACAAACCGATCTTATGAACTCCATTGGGTTCTTCAAAAAATATGGTATGTTCCCAACAAAAGGCAGCGGTCTGGGACCAGGTGGAGTTTGACCTCTGTAGGAATTAATCCTAATGAGCTCAAACAAAATACAAAAATAAAGCCCAGAGACAGAGCCAGGCCCACAGAGGCCAGGTCTAACTTCATGAGAGTCGTCCACACGATGACAGATTCATTTCAAGACAAACATGAGCAGCAGATGACCGTGAGCATTATAAAGACAGAGTGAAAGGAGGAGGAGACAGTAGGAGTGGGAGTTTGACGTGCTGGTTCATGTTTTTGTCTAGTTATTACTGCTAAGGCTGCAAGGTTCTAAACATTCAAGACATGAAGAACAAAAATGTACACAGTGAATGCATCTAAATGAAGTTCACTCACTGCAAAGAGGAAAACAGGCTGCAGAAGACAAGTTGTGCAAATTTAGTAAATAATCGACTATCTCAAAGATCTCTACTACCATGATGTTCACCGTTGACACTAAACCTCAGCACAGCCAATGGATATTCTACAACCTAATCTTTTCTTTATTAATAAGACTATGCAAGAGGTCTGGAAAGGGATAGGTGACAGTGAAATGATAGCAAAGGTAAGGCAATCGTGGGCAAAAGAAAATGTCATTCCCTCAATAGAAAAAATGTTGTTCCCTCAGTATAGGATATTGAGGCCACGACTTCATATCGCGTGGCCACAACATTTTCACGTTAACCACGAATTAATATCCCGGTCACCGTACAAATCAACAAGTTCTTGAGCTTTGCTACTCTTTTACCTTCATATATAAATGACATGAGTGTGAGAAATCCCTTTAAGTTTACAAATCTACACAAAAGCAAAGCGTAATTTAAAGTACAGGTTAAATCAATACAGAAAATTCTTTCATATTAACCCATTTTGCCCTATTTTTATGGAATTTTCTTAGAGTGATGCAATTTTGCGTCATGGTTACGTAATGATGTCACCATCCAATGACATCACAACATCACTTAGAAACTTTTCGCAACAAATCAACCTGCCTTCAGCTACTTTCCCTGAAAAGTTGCTGGCAACACTGATATGATCTAGAACTAAATTCATACACATTTTTGAAGCAACGCGACATGGTGTCGTTTGGCTCTTAAGAACGACCATACACTGTTAAAAGTAAAGGTTTTTATTGGCATCTACTGTGAAAACCTCCTTTTGGAACCTTTTACTGTAAAAGTGTACTTTTAAAGATAGAATGAAATAGTATAAAGTCCACATTTCAAAAATAAAAAAACATGTTACTGAGATAGCTGCTCGGAGAAGATCCACAGTAACTTCAGTGCCCATATTAGGCATGCATCAATGCAACAAGTAACCAATGCCTTAAACATAATGCAATATTAGAGACTTTCTAAATGTAATCCTTTTCATATGCAATACTTGAAAGAGCACAAGAGAGTGATGTTTTACCTGTAACTCATATTCTTACTTATGGAGTCTCAGCAGCTCTTTCCTCACCTCTCACACAAGATAAAAAAAAAAAACTTGCACATCCATTATTAACCAATGGATCCTCTGCAGTGAATGGGTGCCATCAGAACGAGAGTCCATCCAAACACATGATTAAAACATAGTAATCCACACCACTCCAGTCCATCAACTAACATCTTGTGAAGTGAAAAGCTGCGTGTTTATAAGAAATAAATCCATCAAGATATTTTTAATGTTGCTTCCAGCTAAAATATGAGTCCTCTATTCACAATATTGCTTTCTCTATAGTGAAAAAGTAATCTCGCCTGAATCAGGAGAGAAATATGCACACAGATCACCCTTTACAAGTGAAAACAGTCTAAAATAGTTCTAAATAGTTCTTGTGTACCTTTCTCTGTTTATTAGGTAGGGCTGTATGATTAAGATAAATCAAAATTTCATATTAGGTAAAAGATTTAACAAGATTGTCCATTACCATCTGCTCAGCCTGTGGAAGATGACCATGAAGCTCACGTCACAACATGATCATTCAAGAAACATGATCCAGTAACTCAACCAGCTCTACGACTTTAAACGTGCGGACATAATAACTACTGTATAATGTGCTCTTGTGCAGAGTCTGACTGTAAATTTACACATTAATGTTCATTGATACTGGTGGAAAAAAACGAAAATATATTTACTGCAGATTTAAAAACCTTTATTCTCTAAATGAGAGCTGTTTGATTACCCATCGTTTTTCAATTGAAGTAAAATACAAATCATATACAAGTACACATGTGTATACATTTACTATACAAAAAAAAAAAGTATAATAAAAAAGCTGTCAAACTGACTGATCCAAACAATTAAAATTTTAACTTCATTTTCGATTGCATAAACACAATTATATGCTTATGCTAAAATAAATGTTCATAACTATTAAGATGCATCAGTGTCATCTGATGCTGTAACAACTGAAAATAAATTATTTTTGTTCCTGTAATCAGAATTACCTGAAAACAGTTAATCTATAAAATAACTGATATACACAATGATTTAGATGAGCCAAGATGCTCTTGTGTGTCTCAGCAGCTTTGTTGTTCTTCAGTAAGTATGATGAATAATGATGTCTGTATGTTGTGTTTGGAGTTACTGATGGTCACTCTTTAGTATCTCTGCTGCGGCAGATGATGTTGAAGTTCTGAGGATAGCGGACGATACCCATGATCCCATCCATGTCTATGGACTGTGGCTCGGGCGGCCAGGAGAATTGAATCTGCTGTAGGAGAGACGTGATGTACAAGAAGAGCTCCGTCCTCGCCAGGGTCTTCCCGAGACAGACCCTCGGACCTAATAACAAACACACAAATCATTACAGTAACTTTTCCTAATGGTTAAATCTGTTCACAAACAGCTGACTCACCCAGTGAAAAGGCGATGAAAGACTCTGGTTTGAAGAAGTTCCCATTTTCATCCAAGAAATTCTCCGGGTTAAAGGCGTCTGGATGCTTCCAGTGCTCCTTATCACTGAAAATGGCCGCTAAGTTTGTCGTGATCATAGTTCCCTGTATGAGGAAAGTTTAGCAGAGTTGAATTGAACTTTTCACAAATGAAACTTTTAACCCAGGGTCATATTTAACCCTCTATCTAGTTCCATGTTTCATACTGGAATCACTTCTTACATAGTAATATATTTACAAGAGTGTATGAAAAGTGTAGGCTTATGAAAAGCCTCAAAGTCTCAAGTTGTTTGTGAACGAATGTTTCAGACTGTCTGGATCAAACGATTCATCAAAAATATCTGACTTAATATGAACAGTTCTTTACAATCATATTGCTAAGGGAAAGCCAGTGCTTATGTTAAATCTTACAGTGAAAAATGACTTAAGTAACTTCAGTCATTCATCCACGCTCCATTCATTACCTGGGGAATGTCGTATCCTCGTAGTTTTGTGGGGCGAATAGTTTCATGAATCACTCCAAGAGGTACAATGTTGGCATAGCGTTGAATCTCATGAACAGTGGCGTATGTGTACGGTAGTTTGTCACGGTCATCCATGCTGGGCAAACGGTCGTAACCCAGCACTCGAACAATCTCCTCATGACATCGCTCTGTGTTGTGCGACAAAAGGGAAGTAGAAAATATCGGCATTTGAACTTCAATATAGAATAGTGTTAAGGTGCTTGGCGGGCAAAATCCAGTCCCCTGATAGTACACGTACATCACGGAGACATCTGTTTAAAGTCTGCATATTTTTTAGAGTGTTTGCTCATCTGCAATACGTCTATAGGACGTTTCCTATCAGATTTACCACACATCTTCTGTCAGATGTTTGTACTCAGCAGATGCTTTCCAGATCAAGTGATCTTTAACAGACATCTTGCAGACGTTTGTGTGCTATCTGGGTCATTTATGAAAACACGCCATCTGGAGTTTAGCGTGAGGGCAAAAAAGTTCAAGACGCAGAACCTGCTTGTAATTTAAGTTGGTTACGCGAATTCGCAGCGATGACCAACACAAAGCTAGTTATAGTTTGAATTCTGTGTGAGCAGTTCTTCATACATTGCTGCACTACTGCCATTATCAGATGCAGTCACATTTATAGTTGTTCTGGTGAATTTGCGCTGCTGAAATCCATTCATTTATTAAAAGGGAAGTGCGGAAGATTTCTCCATGCAGATTTTCGCAGTGGGTTCAATTGAGTTGGTCATGCAGATGCGCCACTTTGACCTTTCGAAATTTACACAAAATAATAGGCCTACACTACTAGACCCACAAATTTTACACTTACGTGACCGCACTACTTGAAAAGATCTATTTTCAAGAACTTCGTCTACTAGAACAAGACTGTAGTGTTCTTATCTTTTGCTAATGTTTAGCTTTAGCACCTTGTGCATCTGGGTTTTGAATCAAGAAGATGAGACCCCATCTGATGGTGGTCGATGTGGTGTCGGTTCCAGCCAGAAACAGGTCAGCTGTTGACATAACCATGTTCTCCTCATGAAACGTGGAACCCTCGTTGGACTTTTGCTGTTTCAGATGAAACAAATCCATCAGTTTACTGATCCTACAGCTAGTTTCTACATGCATGCATATGAGAGCCCTTCTTTCATTAATAGTGATCTCACTTTCTCGATCTCCAGCAGGTAGGCATCAATGAAGTCTCGAGGGTTGTCTGGATCCAGAGTTTCCTTGTGTTCTTTTACTTCATCCCGGATGAAACCCAATAACTCAGTGGCGTTCCGCATGACCTTCTGGTGTGGCCCAGGGAAATGCTTGATGAAGGGGGCTAAGTTGAAAATCTAAGGTAGACAAACTATTGTAAGATCATGGGCCTGTCATGATTCAAATGTTTTTTGAATGACTGAAGTAAAATTACATCATAAACAAAATTATTATTATTTTTTTTTTTAAATTACAAATGCAACTAAAGATTAAACTAAATTGTGCCCAACTTCATGCAAATGTATGATGTCATGCAATATGGCAATGGGAATGCAGACAGTGCGGGTCACACGATTTCCACACGGATAATAATTATTTTCACACAGGGTGGCTGTGGCCAGTTACAAATATATCAATAAAATAATTTTCTGCCAAAAATGAAGAATTTGATCATACCTGTCCCGCAGCTGACCCTGCAAGCATGAAGTTTTCATTCAGGATTTTCAGAAGGTATGAGAAGCGTTTGTTATCGTAGTCGAAGCGCTCTCCAAACATGATGGAACAGATGATGTTAGAAACCGCATTCTGTATGGCATGTTGGGGGTTCATAGACTTGCCTAAAACCATGCATCAGTACAGGAGAAAAAGATCCGTGCTTTTATATGGAGTCCAACATAAATAGAAATTTGAATTTAAATGCTGAAAATATTTGTGAAAGTCAACATCATTATTGTCACAAATGTTTAGGAAACAGTTCTTGGATGCTGTTAGACCTTTGAAAGCACAGATGAGCTTGTTCGCAGTCCAACACTGTGGAATGAGTTCAAATAGAGCATAAACATTTCATACCTTCTGCTTTGAGCATTTCAGCAATGAGATACCGGCTTTCCTCTAACACACGATCTTCTACTGATTTCTTCCCCAGGCCAAAATTCCTGAGCGTGTGCAGAGCAAAGCGTCTCTGCTGCCTCCAGGAGTGACCAAACGTGACCATTATAATACCTAAGAAAAAGAGAACAAAACCTTGTAGTCTTGTATCTGATCAAGTACTAAATTCATAGTCTACACATTTTTGAAGGAAAGTGACATGGTGTCATTTGGCTCTCAAAAGCGAACATACACTCTTAAAAGTAAAGGTGCTTTACTTGCATCTATGATTCCATGAACAACATTTAACAAATATTGAAACGATTGAAGCAGAAATAGTTCTAGAATGAAATATAATGTAGTCGACATTTCAAAACGTGTTAGCCTACTGACCGAGTCCGTTAGTTATCCATTCTATAAGAGGCATAGATGGTCTTCCAGAAAAAGCTTCCTGAACCAATGCTTCCTTAGTGACCTGAATTGTATTTAGGACTATTGTTGGCTTTCTTCCGATATACATAGTTGAGATCTCTCCATATTGTGACACCTGCTCAAAGGAGATAACAAAGCAAAGTAACAAAGCAATTCAATGTATAAATTGTTGTGAACACAAAGGTGATACTACCTTCTGAACATGTGTGTTGTAAATTAAACATCTAATTTCAAAATATGTAAGAGTTAAGCCCCTACCAAGCAAATCAGCAAAGACTCACAGATCTTATGAACTCCATTGGCTTCTTTATAAGCTGTGGTAGCACTCCCAAAAAAGGCAGAGGTTTGGGACCAGGTGGAATTTGACCTCTGCATGAATTAATCCTGAAGATCTCAAACAGAACCATAAAGATCAAACCCAGAAACAGAGCCAGGCATACAGAGGTCAGGTCTAACTTCATCAGGATCGTCCACATGATGACAGATTCAGACAAACACAAGAGCAGCGAACGACCTGTGAGTTTTATAAACGCAAAAGAGGAAGAAGGTGGAGACACTGGAAGAGCTGGACTTGCAGTTAACCCTTTCAGTTGTGTTGTTGATACTGATATGATGAATGCATACACCCCAATAGCCTATGCCAAGCATAAACAACAGGAACTACTATATAATCTATGAACAGTCAAAACAGAAGGTTTAAGCATTGCAGCTACTCACAAAAGAACACACACAAGCTTCCCATTTCCATTCCCTTTCCCTGAGGAAATTCCTCAAAGTCTACAATGGTTCCCTACTGGTTTACTGTAGAAGATGAAGCGTGACACAAGACTGAATGACTGGTAAATAAATGATTGACTACCTTACATTTGTCTTATCAGAAAGGACAATTGTTCTTCAGTCACATGATGCAAGAGGCCTGTAAAGGGGGAAAAAACCATACAACTACGACAAAGGTGAAGCACAAGAATTCAGTCACGACGAAAATGAACTTATTTAGGCTACACATGTGGTGGATTTTATGTTTGACGGTACTTTGGTATTTCTTGAAGTACATGTAAATATGGTATATTAATAATAAACTTGCAACCATAACTTCCATATTTTGCAATGTGCAATTCCCATTTTATTTGTGACTGGGTGAAACTCCCATCCTATGCAAAATTGTCGAAAAAGTGAGCTTGTTTAATCTCGTGAGAGAACTGTCGGCGTAAACTGCTTCTTTCTTACATCACAGGTAAATGAACACAGGAACACAACATATGCTTAGTGTCGTTTTAGATTCATAACGGCTTATGTGATGTAAGTTTCCGTGTCGATAAACTAATAGGCGATGTCTGTAAATGAAGAAGGACATATTATTAGGCTTCTTGAAAACGAAGGCGAAAACGAACGCGCATAAGTTTTGGCTCGCGAATCGTTCTTTGTGATCGGTTCTTTTTAATGAATCAATCGAAACGCAAAACAGACTGAATCGTACAGGTTACTAGACCATCACAACAGCAAGACCTTACAAATGCAGTTTTTTAAACCGTTGACTTACTGTATACACTTTTATGACTGGTTCTGTGTGGCTGTAAAGAACAGTGTTGGGGGTAACGCATTACAAGTAACGCGAGTTACGTAATCAGATTACTTTTTTCAAGTAACTAGTAAAGTAACGCATTACTTTTTAATTTACAAGAGAATATCTGAGTTACTTTTTCAAATAAGTAACGCAAGTTACTTTTGTTTCCAATTTATTGATTGACAGCTCTCCTGTCCCATGTTGAGAGAAATCAGATGTTACTGTAGTTCAAAAATAAATATGAATATGCATTAATTCATCTCACTCACACAAAAAACCCCCCACAGATTCAGTATTCCTCAAAATGAATAAAAATAATGCAACTCAGAATATGACACAAACCTGCAATAATTAAATGTTAAACAACACAAATATCCTTTATTTATTTAATCCCATTCTATTAACCAATGTCTTTGCTTCTGACCGTCGATGATCCAGTTCAACCGTACTAACAAGCAAAAATTACTCTAGACATACATTTGTGTGTCTTTTTTTATTGCTGAAGTGTGTTGAGATTTTTTCTAACTACATTCTACTGTACGGACGTAAATTTACTTTCCCTTCAGCCTGAGGCTTATTCATTTCACTTTTGGTGTGAAAAGGCTTTTATATTTGCCAACTTTTTTATTTTAAAAACAAACAAGCAAGCCCTGTCCAAATGTAAAAAGTAACGCAAAAGTAACGTAACGCATTACTGTTCATACAAAGTAACTAAGTAACGTAATTAGTTACTTTTTTATGGAGTAACGCAATATTGTAATGCATTACTTTTAAAAGTAACTTTCCCCAACACTGGTAAAGAATACCATGATTTACCATATATCGAATAAAACTTGGTGTACATTGTGCTTTTTGTATGTGGTGATGGCAACAAACTCGTAAATCCGCTGATTAAAAAATTTAAATGTTACATGATGCATTGCTGAACCAAACGATTCTCTGAAGTTCGAAAGAGTCGATTAAAAAAAAACCGATTCGGACCCAAATGAGTCGTGTATAGGTTAGTTTCGATAGCGTTTAAATGCCAGAAGCTGTGAACAACTTCGTTCAAAGTAGAATAATAGATTGCGTTTATATTTGACCGATTTGATAATTACGGATGCATTACAAAACGGGTGATTTTTAAAACTTTACGTTAACAGAATTCGCTGTCATAATTAAGAAGATTGACCACTTCAGGCTCGTTAAAGATGACACAGAATGGTACCGGAGGATCAGCGAGGCTGTACAGTGCAGTGCTCGCTAGAGGAGCACCACCATCATCCGATACTCGTGAGTAAATGTCAGACTTTCATAGTTTTAGCCATAAAGAATTACAATACAGTTTTCTCGACATTTTACAGTGATACGGGCAAACAGTTCACGGATCAAACCCTCTGGCAGTAACAGAATACCGTCGTATTACCACGTTTGTTTGGGACCATGTATGGTATACCATATATTTGACAAACATGGTGTATTTTAAGTTCTTTAGAGTACAGCTTAAGCTGGTTGGCAGGTTTTTCCAGCCTAGTCATAGCTGGTTTAGCAGGCTGGCTTTAGATGGGTTGCAACTGTTGGCTGGCGAGGCTGGAAGACCAGTTTGACCGGTTTAATCAAGCTACGTCCAGATTAAATCAGCTATGACCAGCCAACCTAAATTGTAAATATCATACATGGCAATTACTAAGTACCATCCAAAGTAGATGATATGGTCACCACATTATTTTTATTTTATTTTTTGTTATCTTGAAGCATATAGACCAGATCCAGTATAACCACTATAATTTGAAAATTGCCAGAGTTATTATACAAGTTACAGCTTACTGTAGTCCTGCATTATATGCTACGTTTGTAGTAACACGATTTTTTCATGTTATATTATCGATCCATTCATCCATCCATTCTCAGAACCAAGCACTGTCCTGATGAAGCTGAAGAACGCACTTCGGGATCTGATGGTCCAATATCCTAACGGTGTCACTTTGAGCAAAGCACACAGGTCCTGCCCGCTTCTCCTAGACTCTGAGGTGCTGGACGGCTATGCTTCTGTCCGCCAGCTCTTAGCATCCATGCCTGATGTGGTGACACTAAAAGGACTTTGTGACCAGACATTCCTTCTCCCTCCTGGCACTAATCGAGGACAGGACAATTCTGGAGGATAGACATTGTTTACAGATCACATATCCCACAATGCTTCGCAGTCAAACCGGACTGGTGACCAAAGCTGTTACTGCAGATGTAAAAATTTTTGTCCACTAAACTGTGACCACAGACAATAGCATTAACTAAGATAACCTGGATTTTTTTATATATACCACAGCATTTTTTCAACGTGACCAGATTTAAATCAAGAAATAAGAGCACTTGAAATGAGTGTATTCTTAAAATACATTATAGAAATGTTTAAATAGATTGTGTTTACATTTTTGAAGACCACAAATGCACTTAATTATTTTTTACTTTAAGTGGTCACACACACAAATCAGGAAATCATTGTAAAATTGAGGAAGTTGTATCAACTGCGATTAGGCAACTCAGGGATTGTTTTTCTTAGTCTTACATGGTATTTATATGATTATGAACTGGTATAATAACATTTACACATTTTAACTACATTCTAATTGAAATGTTTTAAAAGAAATGTTCACAATAACTTGTAACCTTTACATTTTTAATAAGACTTAATACTAGACTTTTAATTAATGCATTCTCCCAAAAATATACTGAAGCTTTGATTTTAAAGCGTTGTGTGTTTTTTCAACTCAAATTGATCGTTGCAGGCATATACATGAAATGCATACAATTATGTACATAATGCATTAACCAGTTTTACAATTTCAAATATGCACACGAACAGGGTGTGCGGCTCCACGTGAGTATGAACCATACAGGCAAGATATACATCTAGTTTAGACCTGTACAGGCCTGTCTGTAATAATACCTATTACATCATAAGTGAAAAAAATCTTTACACTGTTGCAGTGGTATTACAGCACTGAAGTAATTTCTTGTGATGTCAGAGTCTATATTTTACAATGAGTACAGCATGTGTCACTTTTTCAAAACCATAACTATTAAACTAAAATATAATTTTGGGCAAAAAAACCCAAAAACAATTAACATTGAGTTGTTTTAAAACAGCTAGTGAAATTGGTGTAAATGTTGGAAAGTGTACTACTGATGGTCACTCTGTGGATCCTCGGCTGTGGCAGATGATGTCGTATGGCTCAGGAGAGCGGACCACACTGACAATCCCATTCATGTCTGGCCACTTCGCACCAGGTGGCCAGGAGAAACAAATCCGCTGTAAGAGAGAAGTGGTGAAGAGGAAGAGCTCCGTCTTAGCTAGGGTCTCACCGAGACAGACCCTCGGACCTGATAAATGGAGATAAAACACAATCGTATAAATGCAGTGTTTGGTTTTTGTCTACTGAAGTCATAGTTAAAGGTGACTCACCCAAGGAGAAAGGGAGGAAAGACTCTGGTCTGAAGAAATGTCCATTATCATCTAAGAAATTCTCTGGGTTAAAAGTGTCTGGGTACTTCCAGTGCTCCTTATCACTTAAAATTGCTGTTAAGTTAGTAAATACCGTGGTGCCCTAAAAAGACAAAATGTGTTAGAAAAACTAACACTTGAATTTCAATCAAGAAACACAACACAGCTATGCTCCATTCATTACCTTGGGAATGTCGAATCCTCTTAGTTTTGTGGGCTGAGTCGTTTCATGAAAAACGCCAAAGGGTACAATGTTGCCATAGCGTTGAATCTCATGAACAGTGGCGTATGTGTACGGTAGTTTGTCACGGTCATCAATGCTGGGCAAACGGTCGTAACCCAGTACTCGAACAATCTCCTCATGACATTGCTCTGTAAGGAAAAGAAAGTTGATGAATAGCCTAAATGTTTTTCCAATGCTAAAATACTAGTGTAAGTAAGCCACTGAAAGATTGACTTCCTGAAATGCTGAAAACCCTGCTTGCATTCACAGACTGCATTTACAGAACAGTAGCTGCAGGAAATGAAAAGGGAATATTATAGTACAGAATTCTTCAGAGCATTAAAAGACCAACAGGAGAGCCATGAACTGGCAACTGTTAATATATGCATTTGGGCATATTCAAGATATGTCATTCCAGGTTTGACGTCAAGACCAAATGTCATTGGTTGTGCATCTTAAAATCAGTAGTTACATGGATATGTGGAAATATTGTACAAATGAGATTTGAGAGCGGTGGAGAAGGGGATTTTCAGTGAATAAAGGAAAAAATTTGGTCCGTTCTTACACAAGGATTTGATAGAAGACAACTCTCTCAGAACATGTTAGATATACATTATCAGTTTATGCATTCCTGGGGAATTAATTCAATCAAATTAGCATGTTTCTTAGTACCATGCTATACTGTTTAAGATACAGAATGCTGAAATTCTTAAGCCTAAATAATACCTTGTACATCTGGGTTTTGAGTCAAGAAGATGAGGCCCCATCTGATGGTGGTCGCTGTGGTGTCGGTTCCAGCCAGGAAAAGGTCAGATACTGACATTACCATGTTATCCTCATGAAATGTGGAGTCCTCGTTGGACTTTTGCTACTTCAAGAAAAAAAAAAGCATTTCAGTTTAACTGAGCTGCTAAGTTCCTTAGCAGCTTACTGTGAATTCACTCCTGGAATATTGTTGGTCCTGCAACAAAATTTCTGTCAACCACTCTGGGAATTAAGCTCCCACTAACTACCATCAAAGAGAGGATAATATTGGTCATGATGATCTCACTTTCTCGATCTCTAGCAAGTAGGCATCAATAAAGTCCCGTGGACTGTCTGGATCCAGAGTTTCTCTGTGTGTTTTGACTGCTTCCCTGATGAAAGCTTTCAACTCTTCTGCGTTCTGGTAAATTTTCTGGTGTGGCCCTGGAAAATGTTTGATGATGGGAAGCAAGTCAAACACCTGGAAAAGAAAATGGCTACATATAACTATGCTGCATCAACTGCAGGAGTCTCCAGTCCTGCTCCTGGAATTCCACCTTCCTGCCAAGTTTAGCTTCAAGCAGCTCCAAAACACCTGCCTAGTTTCTTATAATAATGAAGACATTGATTAGCCTTTTCAAGTAAGTTTAAGAGTTTGAGTTAAACTCTTCAGGAAGGTGGACCTCCAGGAGCAGGACTGGATATCCCAGTTTAGTAGAATTATAACTTAATGTGTTGACAACCTACGGGAAAGCAGACGATGAACAAGACTGATCTCCTGAATCCAGCTGGATACTAGGATAGTCGTAAGCTAATGTAGCGAATCAGCTCATGGGGAAATATGAATAATTAATCATAACTAGTTATAATTAATTATAAATATTTAGATCCGCTGTAGATATTTACTTGACCTCTCAGGGTCAACTGTCTGTCAATTCTAAGAACGTTAATTTCCTGATTAAGGTAAATAACTTTCTTACTGTACAGTTCTACAGAGAGCCTGTAGCATAAATCGGCATGATTAAGGGACTCCAGTTATGAATGAAAAATGGTGTGTCTGATTGGTCCAGACGCTACACTAAACACATATTTAGTACTTAATCATACCTGTCCAGTAAGTGACCCTGACTGAATAATGTTCTCCTTCACAATTTCCAGAAGGTATGCGAAGCACTTGTTATCATAGTCGAAACGATCCCCAAACACAACGGAACAGATAATGTTGGATACGGCATTCTGTATGGCATGTTGGGGATCGAACGGCTTGCCTTCAACAAAGAAAACCATATGTTAGTTTCTGGCAAGCACCGTTTTAATACTTTAAAGAGAATCTTGCCAAGTAAATGAATTTAAATTCACATTACAACTAGTTTTTTTTAAATAAAAACAGATTTGGTTTAATGGCATTTGAAGCTAACCTAAATACTGTGCAACAATAATACATACAGAGGTGGGTAGTAACAAACTACATTTACTTACTTTAATTAGGACTGTCACAATTAAAGTAAAATGTGAAATGAATTAAGTGTCGACTGTGACATTTAATTTACAGCAGATTTGCTTGCATTGCATCAAATTGAATTTTGCGCACGGTTTGCAGCCTTACCAATCACACACATTTCTGTTGAGCTTATGAATGCACTATCCAATCAGAGGCGTTTTGATTCGTCACCACGGAGAATGTGGAGTTATTCAAGTATGCAAAATTAAGAAAAGATGTAAGTAAGGGTTGATTGCAGTTTGTAGCGTAGAAAGGTTAAGAGATTATAATAGGAGTTTTTGTGAAAGTGCATAACTTGTATTAGACTTAAGTTATGGATCACTTCGGTATTCTTTGCTCACTTTCTTTAAATAATCTATTCCTAGTTTGAATAACCATTTTATTTTTCATGCTACTGAAATAACCAGTGTAAAGTATTGGTTGTCTAATGTGTAAAAAGCAATCAACAAATACATAAACGGTTCTTAGCTTGTTTTGTCTATAGCTAAAATGACATTCCCCCAAAAAACACTCTTTCACGAGTTGCAGATAATAAAGCGAGAAGAATAGTATGCGTATTTGGCGTGCTGTCCGAGGAGAAGGCTCCAAGCTCGGTAATTCTTCCCGAACCCGGGGCACTCCCCCCCTGTCCGGAGAGAGGTCTCCGAGCTCGGCATTTGCCCGATGCAGAGTGCTCCCCCCCCAAAGATGTGATTAGCGCGGGACAGCAGCCAGAGTGGGGCTTGATAACCCCCCAAACCTTGCAGGGCTTAGGGCTGATGGGATGCTGGACGTCGCTTGTAGTAGCGGCACTTCTGTGGCCATAGAAGAGAGAGCTAGAGGCTCCTGCGGGAGCAGACACTGCTGCGTCAGTGGGAAATAGAGATAAAGGCTCCTGCGGGAGCAGTCACTGCTGCGGCAGTGCCTCTGCCTCTGACAACACGTCGAAAATTTTAGGGCTGCTTCTGCAGCCGAAAGTGAGGTGGACAGAAAAGTAAAATTTAGTATGCCAGCGGATGCCGAATAGATGCCAAAAATCTGGGTGAATGGGCATCACTTTAATGAGGTGATGTCCACTTTGGCCAGCCAAGCGCCGCAACCCGCGTCTTTGATCAGGTTAATGGCTTGGTCAATATCATGGTAGTGGAGAGAATATTCTTCGAGTGGAATGAAGCTGTTAACGCTCGGGAACGGGGAATTATGCGGGGATGAGAGATCGATTATGAGGCGTTTTTTACCTGAGAATTTCCTGGTAGCTACACCGATGGGGTTAACACGGAAAACATTAAAGGGAGGAAAGGAAAAGGGGCCGATCATGAAGTTTGCATCGGTTTCTTTTTTAATGAGAAGATCGACTGTTTCGGTGAGAGCAGTCTGGAGATTAAGGCAGATAAGGCTTTGGGAGGGGAGATTTTCGACACCGGGGTGAAAGCTGTGTGAGAGACCAGACAGTACAAAATCAGTAAAATGAGAGTCAGGGTGACGAAGCAATTCGGAAGACAAACGAGAAACATTTACAGGAGTTGATAAGTATTGTTTAGAACTTTTATTTGTAGCTTTTTGCATGGGGCATATCAGGCGGGCGTGGGTGCCACCACAAAAATTGCACACGTGCATAAACTGGCAGCATTGCCTTGTGCATCTGCCGGCATTAAAGCTGGCGCAGGCCTGGCTGTTGGAGGAGGAGGGGCGGCGGTAGGTGGAAGTGGGGGGTAAAGGGTTTGTTGGGGTGTTTGGGTGGCACGGGACGTCGCTGGTGGAAGTGGGCTGAGATGGTTCAGGGCAAGGAGGGATAGACGGGTTGATGAAAGGGCATACTATGGGCAATGGATCGGCAGACAGCGCATGATATGTTACGGCAGCCTAAAAATACTCTATTGTGGAGTTCAGTGTCCAAAGCCCCCCACTAAGAACAATGGTTGTATTGGGCCACTCGGATGGCACATTTAGCAGAAAATAATCTGTGGTAAGTGTAAAAGTGGGAGTCTCCATATGATAACACGAGATAGTCGCCGAGCTTGCGTCTCCTGTGTGGGAAAACTGTGCAAAAGACTTCTGCGTAACGGGTGAAAGCGATCGTGAATTCGGCAAATGATAAGATATGTGATGGATTGTGTGCTGTGTTTTTTTAGGGTGACTGAGAATTCGCCGCAGTCAATTTGGTGATCTGCAGACGAAGGGGAAATTGGTGACAAAAGGGAAAAAAGGTCTACGTCCGCACCTGACAAAATCTGTGTCCTGATGCTGCATGCTACGGGGGGTGGTTCCAAGACGAGAGCGTTCAGAGGGATGGGCAGGGGTGGGGTAAGGAAAGGGCTGTGGATTGATCTGCGCCACTACCGGAGGCGTGCTCACGCTGTCGTGGCGGCTTGTGGAGGTGAAGGCCGCTGAGAGGAGCTGCGAGCTGAAGCACGGTTGATCGGGGAGGGGGTCGGGGGCTGGCGGCTGCGGCATCCGGGGCGTGGCCCAGGCTTGCCGAAGGTCTTCTGCTGCGGCCTGACGGCCAGAGGCCCGTCCTCGAGGGAGTGGGGGTTTGCTCAGGCCGTGAGTACAGGACACTGCGGACCTGGCTCGCTTTATCCACGGCTTTGGACAGAGGAGTGGAGTTTGAAGGTGGTGCCCCTGGCTGGAGAGAAGCATAGAGGGTGTGGAGTTCCGCCTTGTTCGACCGTCGTGGGACATTGATGCCGGCGCTGATGAGCGCCTGACGTAGGCCTGTCACGGTCCATTTCTCCACGGCGGGGACGGAGGGGAGGGCTGAAGAGTAGAAGGACACGGGGGAAGGTGGGTGATGCCTGGAAGGCGAAGGTGATGGCGTGCTTTGGTGTCTGGAGGTATGAGCGGTGGCGGCGCAGGAAGGCCGGTGGCCCTGTGGTGCAGCCACGGGCTCAGCTGTGGTGTCCTGCAGAGCACTGGTGTGCTGGACGGCGACTGGAGACGCCGGAGGACCCGGGGTGTCGAAGGAGTTGTCGCCCGGGAATAATTCTATCTCTGACATATTTGCGGCGATTGGATGTGCCAATGCTGAAAGACTAGAGAGAATGAAGGTAAGGCTGCTATGATTATTTATAGTGGTTCTCTCTCGTGGTGTTTGGATAGATGATGTAATTACTGATAGTGAATTGGCCAGGTTGATTATCTGCGTGTGCTTCTCCCAAAATTTGTTAATAAAACATCACTTATGGAGCCTAATCGACATTAATGATCATTATTACAATATCAAGAGCAATAATCATCAATAATGTTTTTTTTTTTGTGATATTGCAGGTTCACCCTCTAATAAGTTCCTGTTTTTTTTATTTATAGGCTATTTAAATAATGCAGTTGTTGTGTAAATAGGTGTACATAATCTGATTAACACAGTCGGTGTAAATAAACATAAATGCCATGTCAGGTGCAGCTTCTATTACACCTTTGCAGTGTAAAGATGGCTTCTGCTGATGTTGAAAAAAATTAGATTGGCAACAGTCTATAGTATTGTGACTGATCAGGTTACATTTGACATAACACAGATACATTTAATGAAGTAGTTATAAAAAATTGTCCTTGAGTTACAAAAAATATATATATAATTCAGTTTTTGGATACTCTACCCACCTCAGAATTCATAAATGTACTTGAAATGTTTTGGCCAAGCCTTAATGTCTGCATACTTGCGTGAAGTAGCATGTTTGAAGTTTGTTTCTAACTCTGACTCAACAGGACGAGGCGGCACATGATTGAGAGTCTACAGCACCTCTGAACAATGAAAACAGAGACTAAAATTCTTAACCTTCCAATTTGAGCATTTCAGGAACCAGGTAACTGCTTTCCTCTGTCACACGTTCCTCCACAGATGTTTTCCCCAGGCCAAAGTTCCTGAGCGTGTGCAGAGCAAACCGTCTCTGCTGCCTCCAGGAGTGACCAAATGTGGCCATTACAATACCTTACAGAGAGAGAACAGACGTTCAGAGTTAACAGGATATACACAGACAGCTGAACAAAGAAAGACAACTTAAATGGATGCATAGCCCTAAATATCTTGATTACCCAGGTCTACCAAGTTGACCTTGGCCCCATTGGCTGGCAGAATCTTAGCTTTAGACTTGCAGTATAGCTACTGCTTGAGGCTCAAATCTAGACCAAGACCACATTTATGTGGTATTCAGAGGTGTAAAGAGTACCTAAATACCATACTTGAGTAAAAGTACAGATACCTTACAGTGAAAATTACTCCACTACACGTTACAAGTCACTAATTCCAAAAAAATTGAGTAAAAGTCTTCGAGTATCTTTTAACAGTACTTAAGTATTTTACTTATACTAAATATAGGCTCAAAGATGCACTAGTCAAAGAGACATGCCAGTCAAAAACTGTAACATTGTGGAGAAGCTGGGGAAAAAGGCAGGGGCAAGGATCTATGTGCAGGTATTTAATGGAAAAACTAGAACAAACAATAAGCCAAAAACCAAAGGGAACAAAGAACAGAATGACTGGCAAACTGACAACCACTACATTCAAAAACTAAAGAAGAACTAGGGCTATATATATATATATATATATATA